CTGCCGCTCTTCCCGTCCTCCGCCACACTCCGGCTGCTCTTCCCGTCCCCCGCCGCGCTCCTGCCAGTGTCCCGTTCCCTCTGTTTCGCTCCTGCCGCGCTCCTGTCGCTCTCTCCGTCCCCGCCGCGCTCCTGCCGCTGTCCCGGTCTCGCGCCGCGCTCCTGCCGCTCTCCCGGTCCCGCGCCGCGCTCCTGCCGCTCTCCCGCTCCCCCGCCGCGCTCCGGCCGCTCTCCCGGTCCCGCGCCGCGCTCCGGCCGCTCTTCCCGTCCCCCGCCGCGCTCCTGCCAGTGTCCCGTTCCCTCTGTTTCGCTCCTGCCGCGGTCTTGTCGCTCTCTCCGTCCCCGCCGCGCTCCTGCCGCTCTCTAGTCCCCGCCGGGCGTTTGCCGGTGTGCCGTTACCTCCGTTTCCCTCCCGCCGCGCTCTTGCCGCTCTCCCGGTCCCGCGCCGCGCTCTTGCCGCTCTCCCGGTCCCCGCCGCGCTCCTGCCGCTCTCTAGTCCCCGCCGGGCTTTTGCCGGTGTGCCGTTCCCTCCGTTTCCCTCCCGCCGCGCTCCCGCCGCTCTCCCGGTCCCGCGCCGCGCTCCTGCCGCTCGCCCCGTCCCCCGCCGCGCTCCTGTCGCTCGCCCCGTTTCCCGCCGCGCTCCTGCCAGTGTCCCGTTCCCTCTGTTTCGCTCCTGCCGCGCTCCTGCCGCTCTCCCAGTCCCGCGCCGCGCTCCTGCGGCTCTCTCCCGTCGCGGTCCTGTCGTCGCCCTCGCCGATTTCTTCCCGGGCTCGTGGCGGTCCCGCCCCCGCCGGTCTCGTGGCGGTCTCGTCGCGGGCCCGTGCCCGTCCCCGCCCCCGCCAGTCCCGTCGCGGGCCCGTCCCCGCCCGTCTCGTGGCGGTCCAGTCCCCGCCCCCGCTGGGCTCCTCCCGGTCCCGTCGCCGTCCCGTTCCCCCGGGCTCCTCCCGGTCCCGTCGCGGGCCCGTCCCCGCCCGTCTCGTGGCGGTCCAGTCCCCGCCCCCGCTGGGCTCCTCCCGGTCCCGTCGCCGTCCCGTTCCCCCGGCCTCCTCCCGGTCCCGTCGCGGGCCCGTCCCCACCGGGTTCCTCCGGGATTCGTCGCGGTCGCCTCGCTGCTCGGCTCGTCGGTCTGCAGGGGTTCGTAGGGCTCTGCAGGGCTCTGCAGAGTTCTCATGGGGTCTGCGGGGGTCTGCAGGTGTTCGTAGGCATCTGTAGAGGTTTGTAGGTGTTCATAGGGGTTCATAAGTGGTTTGCAGGGGGCTGCGTATTCTGCAGGGTTCTACAGGGGTTCGTAGGGTTCTGTAGGTGTCTCCAGGCATCTGCAGGGGTCTATAATGGCTCGTAGGAGTTCGATAATCTCTGTAGGGTTCTGCAGGGGTCTGCAGAGGTCTACAGGGACCTGCAAGGGTTCATAGGGGTCTGCAGGGCGCTGCAGGACTCTCTAGGGATCTGTCGGGGTTCATAGGGGTCTGCAGGGGTCTGCAGAGGTCTACAGGGACCTGCCGGCCTCCTCCCGGTCCCGTCGCGGTCCCGTCCCTGCCGGCCTCCTCCCGGTCCCGTCGCGGTCCCGTCCGGCCCCCGCCGGGTTCTTCCGGTATTCGTCGCGGTCGCCTCGCTGCCCGGCTCGTCGCGGTTCCGTTTCTGCCGGGCTCGTCGCAGTCCCGTCCTTGTCCCGTCCCCGCTATGGTCATCCCGGTCCCGTCGTGGTCGCGTAACCCGCCGGGCTCGTCGCGGTCCCGTCCCCGCCCCCGCTGGGTTCCTCCGGGATTCGTCGCGGTCGCCTCGCTGCCGCCTCGTCGCGGTCCCGTCCCGCCGGCCTCCTCCTGGTCCCGTCTCGGTCCCGTCCCCGCCGGGCCCGTCGCGGCCCCGCTCGGCCAGTCGCGGTCCCTTCCCCGCCGGGCCCGTCGCGGCCCCGCTCGGCCAGTCGCGGTCCCTTCCCCGCCGGGCCCGTCGCGGTCCCGCTCGGCCAGTCGCTGTCGCTTCGCGGTCCCGGCCGGGCATCTCCCGGTCGCTTCCCGGTCCCGTCCCTGCCCCTACGTCCCTGGGGGTCTTCTCCTGGTCCCCTCCCGTTCCCGTCCCTGCTTCCGCGTCCCCGCTGGGCTTCTCCCGTTCCCGTCCCTGACTCCATGTCATCTCAGGGCTCCTCCCGGGCTCGTCGCGGCTCCGTCCCCGCCGGGCTCGTCGCGGTCCCGTCCCTGACTCCACGTCATCTCAGGCTTCCTTCCGGTCCCGTCCCGGTCCCGTCCCCGGTGGCCTCCTCCCGGTCCCGTCCCGGTCCCGTCCCCGGCGGCCTCCTTCCGGTCCCGTCGCGGTCCCGTCCCTGCCGGCCTCCTCCCGGTCCCGTCGCGGTCCCGTCCCCGCCCCCGCCGGGCTTCTCCCGCTCCTGTCCCTGCCCCCGCATCCCCGCTGGGCTCCTCCCTGTCCCGTCCCTGACTCCACGTCATTTCAGG